AAGAAAAACTTTAAATTCTTCAACTGTGAGGCATTTCCACTCAAATGTTCGAGCATAACAGGAGTTGGGATTTTGAGTGATTAATTGCTGGGGCGAAAATATTGCATTGGTGCACAACTGAATTCAAAAACTCTTCAGTGAAAAATAAATGGAAATAATCAATGGCTGTAAAATTTTGGGTTTCTGCCTGAATGCCTGACTGGGCTATGAATGGGGGAATTATAGGTGCTCCTGATCCTGAAGGTAGCCACACAGGGTTTAAAAGAGCATCTGGGACAGCAGTATGGGCCCTAATCCTTGGTGGCTGATGTGACACCTGAATACTAGAACTTGCACTTACAGTGCTGGTAGTAGCCATATCAGAAGAACGTATTGAGCTGCTGGTGGTTGCTTGCTGCTCCTTGGAGTTCCTCATTCTTTTTGTTGGAACACCTTCTTCTGATTCAGAGAGTGAACCGCTGGTGTTCTGGTTCATATACAGAATCAGAGTTTGACAGTGAGAGTTCTCCTCCGTCACTCTCATCTGTCATACTCAGAATTTGAAATGCCTCCTCGCTTGTATATGATCTTTTGGCCATATTTTTGACACTGATCAGGACCCACTGGTATGGCAGTGATCAGGATGGTGTTGCAGTGAGGGACAGATATCTGGCTGCAGTTGGTTCACACTAGTCACTGTTGGGCAAAAATCAGAGATACAGTGAGGTGGCTGGCAATGTTTTGTGAGTGTGTGTAAACTCTGTGCAAAGGCTGAAAATTACTCACAGTTAGCTGTACTGGATCTCTCTCCTCACAGACGATGGCAGTGAACAGGATCCACTGGTGTGGCAGAGATCAGGGACACTTTATGAACAGGTACACTGTAAGGTGATCAGGGACACTGATTGGGCCACTGTATGGTGATCAGGGACACTTCTGGGCCACTGCGGTGATCAGGGACACTGCTGGGCCACTTGTGTGGCGATCAGGGACACTGTGGCAATCAGGGACACTGTGGCGATCAGGGACACTGCTGGACCACTTGTGCGGCGACCATGGACACTGCTGGGCCACTGCGATGAGCAGGACACTGCTGGGCCACTTGTGTGGCGATCAGAAACACTGCTGGTCAACTGCGGTGATCAGGGACACTGCGGTGATCAGGGGCACTGCTGGACCACTTGTCCGGCGATCAGGGACACTGCTGGCCACTTGTGTGGTGATCAGGGACACTGCTGGGCCACTTGTGTGGTGATCTGGGCCACTGCGGCAATCAGGGACACTGCGGTGATCAGGGACACTGCTGGACCACTTGTGCAGCAATCGGGGACACTGCGGTGATCAGGGACACTGCTGGGACACTGCGGCGATCAGGGACACTGCTGGACCACTTCTGCGGCGATCAGGGCCACTGCTGGGCCACTGCGATGATCAGGACACTGCTGGGCCACTTGTGTGGCAATCAGAAACACTGCTGGACTACTGCGGTGATCAGGGACACTTCGGTGATCAGGGGCACTGCTGGACCACTTGTCCGGCGATCAGGGACACTGCTGGGCCACTTGTGTGGTGATCAGGAACACTGCTGGGCCAATGTGGGGATCAGGGACACTGCTGGGCCAATTGTGTGGTGATCAGGAACACTGCTGGGCCAATGCGGTGATCAGGGACACTGCTGGGCCACTTGTGTGGTGATCAGGAACACTACTGGGCCAATGCGGTGATCAGGGACACTGCTGGGCCACTTGTGTGGTGTTCAGGGACACTGCTGGGCCACTGCGGCAATCAGGGCCACTGCGGCGATCAGGGACACTGCTGGACCACTTGTGCGGCAATCAGGGACACTGCGGTGATCAGGGACACTGCTGGGCCACTGCGGTGATCAGGGACACTGCTGGACCACTTGTGCGGCAATCAGGGACAATGCTGGGTTACTTGTGCGGCAATCAGGGACACTGCTGGGCCACTTGTGTGGCGATCAGGGACACTGCTGGGCCACTGCGGCAATCAGGGACACTGCGGCAATCAGGGACACTGCTGGACCACTTGTGCGGCAATCAGGACACTGTGGCGATCAGGAACACTGCTGGACCACTTGTGCGGCAATCAGGGACACTGCGGTGATCAGGGACACTGCTGGGCCACTGCGGCGATCAGGGACACTGCTGGACCACTTGTGTGGCAATCAGGGACACTGTGGTGATCAGGGACACTGCTGGGCCACTGCGGCAATCAGGGACACTTCTGGGCCACTTGCGTGGCAATCAGGGACACTGCTTGGCCACTGCGGCGATACTGCTGGGCCACTTGTGTGACAATCAGGGACACTGCTTGGCCACTGCGGCGATCAGGGACACTGCTTGGCCACTTGTGTGGCGATCAGGAACACTGTGACGATCAGGGACACTGTGGAGATCAGGAACACTGCTGGGCCACTATGTGGCGATCAGGGACACTGACAATCAGGGACACTGCTGGGCCACTTGTTGGGTGATCAGGGCCACTTGTGGGCGATCAGGGCCACTTGGGGCAATCAGGGCCACTTGGGGCAATCAGGGCCACTTGGGGCAATCAGGGACACTTGTGGGGGCAATCAGGGGACACTTGTGGGGGCAATCAGGGCCACTTGTGGGGGCAATCAGGGACACTTGTGGGGCAATCAGGGCCACTTATGGGCAAAGCCACTTGTTGGGGCAATCAGGGCCACTTATTGGGGTGATCAGGGCCACTTTAGGGGCGATCAGGGACACTTTAGGGGCGATCAGGGACACTTTAGGGGCGATCAGGTGTCTACTACCTCCTCTTGGCTGTTTCTCCTCTCACAGACAACTCCGTGAGAGGAGAAGGAGGCGGAAGCCGCACCATGCGGCTTTTGTTTACACTTATGCTGTGTCCTTATTGGACACAGCTGATCACATGGTATGGGACCGATTTCATTGGTCCCATACCATGTCACGTAATCTACCGAGTCCGTCGGACTCGGCGATCATCGGGCTCGCGGGTGCGCGCTCTAGGAGCCGCGCACGAGCCTCAGACACAAGGTGCCGTTTAGAGACGGCAACCCGCTCCTGTAGATGTCCCGTCCTGCCGTTTATAAACAGCGGCCGGACGGGAAGTGGTTAATAAGTAATTGAACAGTACTGACTGTACATATTCAAGGCTTTCGATATTTTTTTATATTCTTTTCTATCTTTATAACGTTCCTTTACCTTGTTACACATGTCTTTTGACAGTTCTTTTCTGCTCCCCATGGCTCAGTATCTAGTCTGCATCCACATGAGAGCTAACAAACTCATTGATTTATACACAGACACCAATTGCAATTTAAAAAGCCACAGATGTGGGATATTGACCTTTAATTGCCTTTTTAACCTGTGTGTTTCACCTTGTGTGTCTGTAGCAAGGCCAAACATTCCAGAGAATGTAAACTTTTGTCAAGGGCCATTTGGGTGATTTTTGTTATCATTATGATTTAAACAAAGAGCCAAACAACTATGTGATAATAAATTGCTTCATATGATCATCATCCTTCAATTAAAGACAGTTTTGCATGATCAGTCATATTTTCAATATTAATGCCAAAATGTCATGATTTCTGCTAGGGTATGCAAACTTTTGAGCACAGCTGTATATACCATAGTTTGTGGACTCTATAACTTTCACACAAACTAATAATACACACTGATTTGGCATTTTGGCCTACATTTATGAAGAAAGATTATTGATTTGCAAAATATTATAATAGAAACTAAGAAAAATTAGTTTTTCCCCAGAATTTGGGGATTTTTTTTATAGCAAAAAAATAAAAAACCCAGTGGTGATTAAATACCACCAAATGAAAGCTCTGTCTCAAACAAATATACAAGCAATTGTCATTCAAAATGTGACAGTGCTAAAAATTGAAAAATTGCCTGAGTAGGAAGGGGATGAAAATGTCTGGTTTTCAGTTTTTTTCAGTTTTTGTTGATCCATATAATTATGTTCTTTTTTCAGGCTATATAGGGTTTATGTTTGATTATATGTAAGTAAAAAATATGGCCTGCCAGTAATAAACGTATGTGCTGCAACACTTAATTGTTTAACACAGGGCTGTCCAACCTTTGACTCTCCTGGGCCACACATAAAAGGAGGAGGAATTGTCTTGGGTCACACATAAAAAACACTAAGGACCCATTCACACTTTATGATTTTGAACCACAGGCAGAATCGCCGTAACTCCAAATCGCACTGCAATCTTGGCAAAACACACCATGCATGTTTGGGTGCCATTCATTCTTAATGACACCTCAAACATGGTGCGATTTTTGTATAACAGAATTGGGCCGCAAAATGCATTATGTGAAGCTATTGACCAAAAGAAGCTCCTGTTTCTTTTTTGGGCGACAAGCTTTGCTCAATGTGTTTTACTGTGAATGGCAAAATTGCACCGCGTTTGAGGTGCCATCTTAATGGCACCTTAATGGCAGTGTGAAGGGTTAATTGCATAATTAACCTGACACAGTAACATTCGCTCTCAGGCTGCTGGCACATAGATTTTGGTCCAGTGAGCTGGAAAATCTTTGTACAGGGTGCAGCTGAGAGTGGCATTGTTACGCAGGTGGCAGCGTGGTTTTAGATCGGCTTGTCCTTCGGTCACAAGTTGGTGAGAAGGGCTGGGGTCTGACGCCACCACCAGTGATATTGCAAACATGGCATCTGCAGCATCCCTCCAGACGTTCCTGGGCCCTGCTTGTCTGTCCCAGCCACTGTTGCAGGTGCTATGCTGAACACAGCATCCCTGGCATCCCTCCAGACATGAACAATCATCGCCACAAGTTTACAGTTTTGTGTTGAGCTGCATGCATAGCCTCCTTGGGCTGGACACCCCTGATTTAACACAATAAATAATCAGCCAGCATGATGAACACAAAAAATGTACAGGCTTCTCAATACGCATAACCGATGTCCTCCAGGACATTGTATTCAGGCAGCTATTCTGACAGAACCAGACAAAACCAGTGAAGAAAGGCACTAGTAGCTAGCTGGCAGTAGTAACCAGGGGCGGACTGACCATTTGGAAACTGGGGCACTGCCCGAGGGCCCGGGGTCAGTAGGGGGCCCCATGAGATGCCCCGGTACCTTTTTCATAGGCATTTTTTGAGTTTGGGCAAGGACACAGAGGCCCTATGATCCCCTATTGCCCGGAGGGCCCCATGAGTTGTCAGTCTACCCCTGGTGGTAACAGGACTTTCACAATGAGCTCTCTGCACATGGGAATGTAAGTTGGATATGAAGAAGCAAGTGGAGCTCTCAGCTCCACTTTACGTGTTTCCTGCATCTAATTAACTACTTCTGTAAAATCCTGTTTACAAGGCTCAATATCTCAAGCTGAAGTTATGCACACAGCTGACTGAGAGAAAGGGTTAATCCACTATAGGCTACATTTGTCCTGGGTTTTTAATGAGGCCCAATATGTCTGAAAGAGAATTAATTGTGCTGTGCCTATAGGTTTAGGCACCCATAACTCTTATGAGAAGGGGAATAGCTGGAGGAGCAAATGATGAACTTGCTATCAGAGGAAAATCTATTAAGCCTCATGCATATTGGGGCTTTTGTAAATGCTTTTCTCCTGGCAGGAGAAAAACAGGTTCAAAAACACACCTATACTGTGTTTTTGCAAACACGTTTAGGAGTGCCAAGAGCTTAGGCGTATATTCATTGCACTGGCCAGAATATTAATAAATGCTCAAGCGCTAGCCGTTTAGGTTTGTTTAGATGCGTTTACACATGTTTAACCATGTAGGCACGTTTTGGAGTTTTTTTCAGTGAAAATGCTCCTCTCTTGAATGCACAAGTGATTTTTTTTTCTGCCTCTAAACTCCTGTAAATGCCTTTGCGTGTACATACACATGGATGGCTGTTTAGAGACAGAAAAAGTGTTATTAGCCTGTAAAACAGGTGTTTTTTTAATTCAAGTGTGCATGGGGCCTTATAGTCCAGTGACCTGCAAAAATCTGTAACAGCATGTCCCATAGTGCTATGCCTTCCTGAGGGCCTATTATTAAAGTGGAACTTTCCTTTTCAGCCAAGGAAGCTGCCATCTTGGTTTCTGTTTGATCTGCAACTGCCATAATTCTGCACGTTATCAGTTATGAATCCAGCCATTTGATGATTGGAGTTTGGTTGAGAGCACAAGCAAATGTGACAGTTAGCATTCCCAGCATGCCGGAATGTAACTGAATGTAAAAAAAAACTCTGTTTTTTTTAAAAATCATTAAATTGATGGGTTTAGTTCCACTTTAAGACTTCAAAAGACAGTAAATGTAACTAATTTCTGTCCAGCAATGTATCCGTACATCGCTGGACTTTTTGTGCTTATACTGGGATGATGCCTGCTTCTGCATCTTTTTTAGAGCTGGTGAGTGGCTACCTAGCCACTCAATTGCTATCACAGCGGGAGGAGACTGGACAGTGAAACAAAGCTGGTATCAGCTTTGATCGGCTCTCTGTTATAGTAAACTGGAAGCGAGGACCTGACATCACTTCTGGTTTACTCGGAACTAGTAAATGGCGCCATTTATAAAAAAGAAAAAGAATTAAAAAACACTGATCTTGATGTTGTGAATGCTTTTAATTGCAGAGGAGGAAATTGGGGTCTTTTCTACAGATCTATCCCTAAAGAGCACCTGTCACGCGTGTATTGCTGTCACAGGGGATGTTTACATTCCTTGTGATAGCAATAAAAGTGATAAAATAAGGAATTAAAGCAACAGTGTAAAAAAAAAAAAAAAATAATAATAATTATGTGCATGTTGGTCCCACACTCACGCAAACAGCAATTGACCCACACATGTGAGATATCACTGCGAACAACAGCTCATGGGCAGTAATTCTAGCACCAGACCTCCTCTGTAAATCTAAAGTGACAACCAGTAAAGGCTGTTAAATCATTGTCTATGGATAGTAAAATGTATGTGTTTATCGATGTTGCAGGTGTGTGCACTTTTAAAGCGTGACATGTTTGGTATCTATTTACTCAGCGTAACATCATATTTTATATTTTACAAATAAATGGGTTATATATTGTGTTTTTTGTGTACAAATTGCCAAAAATTGCGTTTGAAATACCGTGTGACATAAGAAATTGCAAAGTCTACCAATTTATTCTCTAGGGCTTTATTTATTTATTCTCTACCTATCACAACGCTCCTTCAGCGTTACCTATAATGCTACCACCTCCCCCTCACTCCCTCTCTCTGTCGGGGTCCCTCAAGGCTCTGTCCTCGGGCCCCTTCTCTTCTCCATCTACACCTCCTCCCTTGGCCAACTGATACACTCTCACGGCTTCAACTACAACCTCTATGCCGACGACACGCAAATCTATCTCTCTACCCCTCAACTCACCCCTTCAGTCTCCGCCCGAATCACTAGCCTACGGAACAACATATCAGATTGGATGTCGCTCCACTTCCTTAAACTGAACCTCTCCAAAACCGAGCTCCTAGTTTTCCCCCCCCAGCCCGCGCACCCCCCCCCCCCCCCACTGACTTCTCCATCACGTCCAACAATGCCTCCATCAGGCCCACCCCGCAAGCCAGAGTACTTGGTGTCATTCTAGACTCCAATCTATCCTTCCAGCCCCAAGTCCAATCGCTAACAACTCATGCAAACTCCACCTCCACAACATCGCCAAAAAACGCCCATTCCTAACCCCAGAAACCACTAAGCAACTCATCCACTCCCTCATCATATCACGACTCGATTACTGCAACTCTCTCCTCACTGGCCTGCCTCACCACAGGCTATCCCCGCTTCAGTCGATCCTGAATACGGCGGCCAGACTCATCCACCTTACCAACAGCTCCGTTTCCGCCACCCCCCTCTGCCAATCCCTCCACTGGCTTCCGATTGCCCAACGGATCAAATTCAAAATGCTAACACTGACGTTCAAAGCTGTCCATAATTCTGCCCCAAACTACATCACCGACCTAATATCCAAATACCACCCAAAAACACACTCTCCACTCCTCACAAGACCTCCTTCTCTCTAGTTCCCTGGTCTCCTCCTCCCATGCCCGCCTCCAGGACTTCTCCAGGGCATCACCCATCCTCTGGAACTCCCTACCCCAATCCATCAGACTATCACCTACTCTCCTCTCCTTTAGGCGCACCCTGAAAACCCACCTCTTCAGGGAAGCCTACCCCGCCCTCTGCTAATTGCCGATCTCCTCCACTCTTCCTACCACTCCATCCCCCACAGCTTTTACTCCCGTACAACTATCCCCTCCCTCCTAGATTGTAAGCTCCAAGGAGCAGGGCCCTCGAACCCCTCGTGGATCGCACTGTGATGTTATTGTACTGTCTCATTTATTGTCTCCCATTGTAATGTACAGCGCTAAGCGAACTGTTGGCGCTATATAAATACTGTATAATAATAATAATGGGGTCTCTGCTTAAAAAAATACATAATGTTTGGGGGTTCTAACTAATTTTCTAGTAAAAAATACTGATTGTTACAAAAAGTGCCAGAAATGGCCCAGACTGGATTGTCTTCTCATAATGATTTCTTTGCTTTGTTTACCAGCAATTGCTGAATCAAACAATACAATGCTTAGCAGTAATGGCACAGCTTAGCTAAACTGTCTTATGTGAACTCCTGAATTATGTAAAGTAAAAGAGGATCCAATTAACTAGAGTGGAAGGTGTAGAAAAGAATCTGCTAGTTTACATTTAATTTAAATGACCAAGGTGCAAAATTCCAAGGCAGAAATACCGAACATAAAAATGTAACTTCTAAAAAAATAAAAAAAAGTGAATGCAATTGTTTTCTGTATAAATCTTTATTTGTGTATTTGTGTTCATTATCACTGTAATCATGGAAGACATTTAGAAAAAACATAAAGCAATGTTCACACTTTTTTGCTTGTTGAAGTGAAGTTCTACCCAAACAGGGAAGTTCCGCTTTAAGGCCTCATCTCCCCCACTCCCCGTTAAGAATTTGCACCTTTGGGAAGTGGTTGGGGGGAGCAGGTACCTGATTTTGACAGGTAGTTGCTTCCACTTCCGCTATGATTGCCTAGGAGATTGGAAACTGAAGTTGTCCTCCCCTTTCCCTCCCCGTAGTCTTCTGGGACATGTGACAGGTCCCTGAAGTCTACGGGACCAATAACAAGTTGCAGCGCTACTTGCGCATGCACAGTGAGCACCCAGATGTAAAGCCACAAGCTGTCACACCTGGGTGCCCACACTTAAGATGCCAGCGTCGGGGACACAGGACAACCTGCATGCTACATTCTGATGCACTGAGCTGCATTTTCCTCCATTTCATTAGCTAAATGAGAGGTTTCCCACTTAGTGATTCTAAAGGCTTACATTTTAAAAAAAAACAAAAAAAACATTTCTATACTTATCTGCTGTGTGCAGTGGTTTTGCACAGTGCAGCCAGGATCCTCCTCTTCTCAGGTTCCCTGTCGGCACTCCTGGCCCCTCCCTCCTTTCGGGTGCCCCCAGAGCAAGCAGCTTGCTATGAAGGCACGCCCTGCCCCCTCTCTCTTCTCATTGGTTCACTGGCTGTGATTGACAGCAATGGGAGCCAATGGTTCCTGCTGCTGTCTCAGCCAATGAGGAGAATGAGTCCCAGGATAGCCGAGACTCCAGTGGACATCACTGGATTGAGAAGGGGCTTAGGTGAGTATTAGAGGGGGCTGGAGGGGATGCTGCACAGAGGGTTTTTTACCTTCAAGCATAGAATGCATGAAGATAAAAAAACCTTGAGCCTTTGGGACCACTTTAATGTAAAATGTTTAAAAAGCACACATATGATATCATTCAATAATCCAAAAGAGGGAGCAGTATTCACGGGTATTGAGTGATGAACACACAGTGAAGATTATACTTCAACATTTCGATGAGGCACAAGCTTGTCTTCCTCAAGACGAGTTTGTGCCTTGCTGAATTGTCAAAATAAGATCTTCACTGATTGTTCACATCTCAAGACCTGCGAGTGCCGCTGTCGCTTTTGGATTATATGTACTATACACTTTGCTACGCACCTGGACCCATTTTCTATCTCTGATATGTGTGGAGTGGTAACCACTGGATTATATATAATATCATACCTTAATATATGCATGTATCAGGTGTGGACTTACCTTCAGAATTTTAAAACAAAAAACACAGGTAAGTAAAACTTTTGTATCATTTGAATTTATAAAAAAATAGAGATGCTCTCCTTTCCCTTTTACCTGGCTGTGTAGTTAGTGAT